ACCTGTTTAAGAGCTGGCTACCAGTGGGGAAGGATCTCTTCTGGAGATCTGCTCTACTGGAGTTTTGTAAGTGAGCCCAGGATGCAGGTAAGATTTTTATCTATTCTCTTTTTGTTATCATAATCTTCTTTGCCAAATTCTCTTGTTTATTTTGTAATTATAGCATCTTAAAATTCATTGATTATACAATTAGCCAAAAGGAATAGTGTTGTAATGGTGACAACACAGTGGTGACTATTGAAAAATACTGTTTTGTAGTTGAGAATACTCTATCAAATAGTGCTTTTGTGCTCTTTGTATCTGTTGTGGTTTCCATGGAAATAAATAGGAGACATCTCTTTCAGAGCTACCTACATGTATGCCTTTGCAAATATGGATTCAATCTATGAAATTCTTTCTCAGAATTTTCTGGAAAAATTTATGAGAATTTTGCTGAAGAAAGTATTGCAGTGTTAGCCTTGGAGTTAAGGAAGCTCAAATCAGGAAAAGATGGTTCTATACAGTCCTTCCAAAAATGAATATCTAAATATGCTCCGTGAGTGCTTAGTCTCAAATGTTCTCATTGTACAACAAGACCAACATATATTATTCTCCTTTCCAGAATCTCAGCTGGTTTTACTTTAAATAAAGGGCAGTAGATCCATGTCTATCTAAGTCAACTGAGAATTTAATGTCAGAATTTGTTTAGTAGGGCCTAAGCTCTTGGTGAGATCTAAATATAAACATAATTAAAAGAGAAACCTCTCTGTGAGATTTTTGAATCTAAGTTGACTGTAGGAATACTTTGTCATCCAATTTGCAAGTACTTTGGAAGGGTATTCATTTTTTTTGTTTGACTATTTCTTTGCTCTAGGAAGCACTTGAAAGTCAGAACATTTCAAATGCAAACTGATAGAAATGTAATCTCTGTCATCTAAGTGAGGAAGATCAGAGGTCTTCCTGTTCATCTTTCTTTCCTATAGTATCCTCTTTTCCAATTGATAACAGAAGGAAAAGCAAAACTAATGTCAATTCCAAGAGTATTTGAAAAAAATGAGAAGCATACTGCAATATCATACAGCAGTAACAAACCTTGTTTTTCCAAGTGTTGTATTTTCAGTAGTACATGTGAATGTAAATAAGCTTAAACAAAAAAGCACTGCACACTTGCATGCTCACACACATATATGCCTTTATGATATCTTGCTGATTCCTACAATAAAAATGAAGATTGGAATGTTGTCAGACAGGTATTGCCTATATGCAATATTTACACACTTAATGATAGAAATATCTGAAATTAGCAGTCTTGCTCTTGACTTCAGAACCCCACCTACTTTCTTCCTCTATGATACTTTCTCCACTGTGCAACCTAGGCAGCAGAAATAGGAAAGGAATGAACAGGTCTGATCATGGCCATGGTGGTGATGACATGTGAGTAAAACCAATAAATATACTTATGTTACCATCCCTAAACAACCAGAGACAAAAAATGAGCATCATCCAAGAAGGCAGGATGTGCGTTGGCTGAGTTTGCATGGTTGTAGTAGGAAACAGTTACAATGCTGCACAAGTTATATTTATACGTCTTGTTTCCTATCAAACTAACCTGTGAAACAATTTACCTCTTTTTTTACTACGAATATTTACTTTGTTTTTTTGAGTGTGTGCAACTGAAATGTCATGTAACTAGCTGGTTTCATTTATTAAGTCCACTCAAAGATGATCTGTCTTACAGATGTAAATCTATATATTTAATTTCACAAACAAATAGCCTTGACAGTCAGCCAAGAACACTTAATCACACATGCCTACAGGCTGGCTCCTTGCATGAATGGTTCTCCCTGATGCACCAGTGAAACTGAATTAAAGTCTGGGAAGAACAACAAACCTTTGATAAGAGAATCCAAAGCATCATTACCTTACTTGCACTGCATATGCTGTACTCCTGTAAAAGCAAAAGAGTAGGGACTTCTCTTGAAAGATGTGTTTTCAATTCTGTATTCATTGTGGATACATTTTTTTGCTTTCCCTTCAGGCTTTCCCTTCCCCTATTCCATATTTAAATATAAAAATCTTGTTTGTTTTGGCCAGTATTAATGACTTCATATTTTATCTTTCTTTTGCTAGTTGACTTCTTGTGCCACAGTGGAGACAATCTTTTTCTTTGTGAAGTGAATAACATTAATTAGGAAAATTTGATCATTTTCCTAATTAGTAGAGCTCTTCACAGGAGCATTATTTTTAAGTGTTGTTACCAGAATTACTCAGGAGAGCTTAGAGATTTAGAGTACTGATCTTTAATTAAAGAGATCTATCTGTGAATTTTCCCATCTGAATTAAAATTCAAAATCTTTTTTGGCTTTTGTTTTTTGTTGGTTGGTTTGGGTGGTTTTTTTTGTTTTTTTTTTTTAAGGTTTCCAGCAACAGCAAATTTGAAGAAAATCTGATTTAAATGTTGCCTGCTGCACAGAAAATTACATTAAATTTCAATTAAAAATTTCATGTAGACAATTGCTCATTTATCCTGATGTCCCATATATCTTAGCCTTGGGTAACTAAACATAGATGAGCTGAAATCAGTGGCATTGCACTAACTTATGAGTTAGGATCTGCCCCATACATTTGGTGGTGAAAAAGGAAAGTTTGGACATCTGCCTTTTCTGAGTTCTACCCTTGTTGCTGTGGGCCTTCATGGAACAGATTAGCAGAAGACACACTTAATGAAGTAAAAACATGAATGATGGATGTTTTAAACTGCAGGAGTTAATTTAACTTCCATTAACTTCAGATGGTTGGACTAAATGCAAGAATGTGAAGTACTGCATGTGTTTTAAAACTTTAATAGATTTACCTGAAGTTGTCTGCTGTGGCTGGGTACAATAGTGATCAGTGTTGTTTTGGACTCCAGTTGATGGGAGATTACTAAGTATGGCAGTGAAGCAAGACTCACTGCAGTACTGTTACTGTGTAAAAACTACTTGAACCTTTTCAGTGTTAACAGAAAATTCTTGTTTCAACAAAGATAGCTACGTAATCCCAATGGAGGTCACAATCTGAGAGTAGGCATAAACCCACTGAGTCCTCTTAGCTTCTCTCTTCCCTTCCTTGCTGCTGGCTGTAGTTCAGCCTTGGCTCAGAACAGCTGTGCTGTGCTCTGTTTCAGGGCTGAACTCGGGTTATTTGCTGGGAGACTGGGCTGCAGCATGCTCTTGCCAGCTTAGGTCAGTGTTGGCCAGGCTGTATGACACACAGAGGCTCTTCTCTAGAGCACTGGGGGCTGGGCTGAGCTATTTCAGAGGGAATTTAAACTGCGTATGCTTCACGAGGGCAGCCTTCAGCTCAGGCACAGACTGCTGTGGACAAGAGCCAGGCTTTGGAGACCGTGACAGACAACTACTGAACTGTAGGAAAAACAAAGTCCTGAGCTTAGAACATAGCTCAGATAAGCTATCCTCCAAAAGCAGTAATGACTCAAGAGCTCGGCCCTATGTCACGATACTTCATAGCAGTATTTACACTGCTGGACAAGCTAGAGATCAAATGGACATTTAGGCAGGAGTCACTGAGGAGGGATGTGACCATGGTTGAAGTATGGATGGGGAGATATTGATTACAGAGTTTTAGGAAAATATTTCTAAAGTTGATCTCACAAAATTCGGCTCAATTTGCATATAGCAAAAATATCTTTCAGGAAAGAATCATCCCTTGATGTAGATCAAGTCAACTGGAGCTGACATTTGTTTGATTTGCGTTATTTTTCTATTCTTTCCCTCTCCCACCTTCCTCCTATTTTATATTTTTTTTAATAACCAAAACACTTTGAAAGCATCAGAGGTATTGAAAACAGTACTTCAGTGAAACTCAAATAGATAGAAGGTACCTACTAAAACTCATTTAATAGAGATCCCAAAGGCTTTCCTAAATGAAACCAATTACGAGCTCTTCCTGAGAGAAGGTGATGGACCCCTGGGATGTTTATGTACAAAACATTTTCCATTCAGAAGAAACCATTTCTCCTGAAGGCATTGTTGTGTTTTTGGTTTTCTTTTTTTTTTGCATGCTGACTATTGCATCATCATCTTTATTAATGTAGTTGGTGAAACACCTTGAAAATAATTCAAGAATGCAGAATATATTTGCATAGGATGCTGAACTAAAATTGGAGCAATTCTGTTTTATGCAATCTTACTGCTCCTTTGCAAAGCTATTAGATTTCTGATTGCGACAGTCTTAATGATAAGATTCTGCCAGTTTTCAAGTTCACGTTGTTTCCTGCTCTCCTCTGATAAGAAAACCAGAATGGGAAGTGCTTGCTTTATACAAAATATTATCTGTAGTTGCCAAAAATACCCCCTTACAGATGCTCTCATTCCTTTGAAATTTCTTTCCAAGGCCTGGCACCTCTCATGAATAGGGAAGGCAATTTTAACATACATTTCAACCTTTAGTTCCTCAGTGCATCAGTTTTAGTGACAATCATTACAATCAAGTTGACAAGCCTACACACCTGAGAGGCATTGTCAGAAACTGAAGTGAGCACACCGCCTGAAATCACAGCATTTGTTCCTTGACAGTTCTGGCACGGTGGCAGCCAGATAGGGCTGAAAAAAAAAAAGAGAAGGCTCTGTAGTTCCTCCTTGCTGATCTGAAGCCTGCAAACAGAGATCGTTTCAGATATAAATACTTGGAGCAGCCTGGTTGCCTGGGAGGCTGTTGTAAGAGTGAAGCATACTGATTCCTTCTGCAAAGGTTTGTGTTTCTTGACCCCATTTTGATGACTGATTGTTGCTAATGTTCATTCTCTGCAAAGATTCTCACTTAGAGAACTCATTTATATTACAAAGAAGAGGTTTTTGGGTTTTTTTTTTTTTTGGGGGGGGGGGGGGATACAAACTGTAGTTTATCTCTTTATTCTTGCAGCTGACAAAAAAAGGCTTAATGCTTGATCTGCTACTGAATTTTTACATTTTACATATGTTATATAAAGTCCATTTGATATACTCACTGTTTCAGGTTATTAACATATTTTACTTCATCTCTGTTGGTTTTTTTAGTGTCTGAAAACTTAGTGTTTTACAAAAGGAGTACAGTCTTAGCATTAGCTCATAAAATCTCAAAGTCCTCAAAGGGTTGGTGTTAGGGGCTTTTACTCATCAGCTGTGATTTCTGTCATAGCTGTGTGGAAAAATAGAACACATGACAATTAGGGTGGTCCTGAAAGTAATCCTTGCAAGTCAGTCATACACAGTTAAGATAAAATGTATAATTTTAATTATGAGGTTTGAGTATACATTATAAACACATTGCTCAAATAATTCATTGTCCTCCACCTGTGTCTTTTAAAATGAAACATTTCATGCAAGAAGTTACTGAACCTACAGAACTGAGCTATTAGCCACCCGTGTTAGTGATGGATATACCTCCCTTCTGGAATACTACCAAGCCTCTCCAGTGTTTTTCACAATCTCACTAGTAAAAAATGTTGATCATGAAAGTTCAGTATTGGAAGCTCTGCATTTTCCCCCTGTATGGGAACTGTTGATCATGGTCTGAACCTCTGATTGATCACCTGAGGTGAGCACTGAGTCAGCTGTGGGAGCACAGGTGAAGGTGATTCAGCTGTATGATGGAAGGGGTGGAGCCTTGCTGCACCTCTCCTAGACCCCATTTAAGTGCTGACTGCTGCTGGAGAAGGATCTCTTTCTGGAGATTGCTTCTTGTGGAGTTTGCTGTGAGCCTATGGCACTGGTGAGCATTTATTTTGATTATCTTTCAATCATGATAATCTTACTAAGCCTAACCTTTGTACACTTGTTGATTGTACACCCCCCCCCTTTTTTGGTTGCTGTTAGAAATGCACTTAGTTTGCTGACACTCTGCTGGTCTCCATGGGGGCTCTGGGACATGGAAGTGAGGGGCATTTCTAAGATTCCAAACCATTTAGGGTATACTAAGTTAGAGCTGACTTGCAGAGTTGACAATTCATTTCCGATTGCTGCTCCTTGTGTAAGGGGGGGATAAGCATTTCTCCAACTGCACTGACATCCGCTGGTCCTGATAGTGATGGATGGCACTAATGATTAATAATAAATGACTATTCTAATTGCTAGAAGATTAAGAAAAAACTTTGAACAATATTTCTATACCTCAGTCCACTTCTTAATAGCTACTCGTATGATTGGAAGATGATTATCTAGTATTCCCAGGCATTATATTTGAAGTTCATTTAGCCCCAGACTGGTAACATAATCATAATAAAACCAGATTTATTGGTTTGTTTCTCCTCCCAGCCCAATCAGGTAAAGCATAGAATTTTATAGGATATTGAGGACACTGAAACAGATGCTGAATAATAATGGCTAATCTCTGTTCATTGTGATATATCCCAGAACAGCTGCAAATGATGGCTGATCTCAGTTATTATCCTGGATAGCACGAAAATTAAGGATCTCTTCCAAGTACTTCTTCTGCATTATAGACTTTCAGCTTCTACTTAGTCCTTTTCCTTCATCTGACTGAAACTCCACAAATCTCCATAGGTAAGGGCACCTATTCCCCTTACTATACTTACTTACGGGGCACGACTCTATCTGGATTATTCCAACAGACATTCTAATGGGGTCAAAAAAGACAGAGGCTTCAATAGGTAATTACAAGTGTTAATACACTTGTGTTGATTATACTGAAATGTAGGTTTTGAAAATAAGGTATATACAAAAAAAAAAAAAAGATGAGACTACAAGCACTTTTGGAGATATTTATGAAACCATGTTTTAATCAACAAAATGTATACAGATAGGAGAGATGGGGAATCTCCATCCTTTTAGGAGAAACAGTTAAAATTTTTGAAAATATTGTCCTCCTGTTGCCATAAAAAGTACAGAACATACCTAAAAACAACGGGTTGGTAACAGACCTTGTATGGAAATGTAGCAATGGTGTTGGGAAGACCATGAGCCAGAGACGCTCAACCACTGAGTGGAGTGCTCAACCATGCAGAGGCATTACCTGCCTCAGACTCAGGGTATATAATGGAATGGATTTCACCGACTAGTTGCACAATTTCTTCCTTGTCAGGAGGGGGTGTGTTCTCATTACTGCAGTAATGAATAAATTGCTCTTCACAGAGATCTTTGCCTGATTAGAGACTTTTGAACATGGTTTTTTATTCCAAGAAACTGAAACGAATATCATTTGGGGGACTAAACATAGCTCAAATTGATGCCTGGGAAAAAAAAATCTCATGAATACCGTCATCCATATTACAAGCAGTAAAGCAGTAAGATATGGCAACTACAGTATTTTATTTTGAAGACTTACACATGTTATTCCTGTAGGCTTTTTTGTGCATTCCTTGCAGCTTCTTCAAATGTGTTAGGTTACTCCAAAAATGAGTGTAACTGCCAGGCATTTGTAAAGGAACCTGTATACCAAAGAGATATGAACCTCAATATTTTGAAGAAATCAAGCTGGAGAAATTTCTTTTCCTTCATCCCACATGTAGTCTAGGGGAATGTGAGGGCAGAGCATTTGTCTATGCATTCTGCAATACAGCCATGCCAGCAATTTGCAGCGAAGGTGACTGCAGAGTACACAGTCAACAAAAATGGTGCTGTTTTATGAAATGTTTGCAGCCTTTTTCAATGCAGAATGTTCCTCTAAAACACGTGGTATTTGTATGCATGTATTTCAATGATTATGGAAGTACTGCCTTCAGTATTAGGCCCCTCACTACAAGAAAGATATTGAGGACCTGGAGCATGTCTGAAGAAGGACAGTGAAGCTTGAGGGGTCTGGAGAACAAGCCTTTTGAGAAGTAGCTGAGGAACTGGGATTACTTAGTCTGGAGAAGAGGAGGTTCAATGGAGACATTATTGCTCTCTACAACTGCCTGAAATGAAGTTTTGATGAGGTGGGGATCAGCCTCTTCTCCCACTTAACTAGTGATAGGACTAGAAGGAATGGCCTCAAGTTGCTTCAAGGGAGATTCAGGTTATTAGGAAAATTTTTTTGAGTGATTTGGCACTGGAATGGGCTGCACAGGGAGGTGGTTAAGTTACCGACCCTGCAGGTGTTCAAGAAACATGTAGATGTGATACTAACGAGCATGGTTAGGGGAGGAGTATTTGTGGTGGGTGGTCAGTTGGACCAGTTCTTGGAGATCTTTTCCAACCTTGGTGATTGTATGATTCTGTGATTCCAAAGCTTCCAGTTGCAGATACTGGCATAGACTCTCAGAGCTCGACTGAAGTCAGTGGAACTAAGACAACTGTTATCCTCTAAAGTTCATTCTTTATTACAAAGAAGAGGGGGGAAAAAAATCACAAAGATGTGCCACTTTTTGTTCCAACACTATGCTGTTCTAGACAATTCAACACCACTTCCTAGCAAAAGAGAGCACAAATACCTCCCCTGTCTTAGCATCTTCTGTCCAACAGCCTGCCTGCTCATCTGTGATGTGGAAAAGGGACCACATAGCCCGGAACACTTGTTCCTTAGGGCTGCTCATCAGTCCTCTACAGGAGTTGGATGATCAACCACACTTCTGACTGGCTCTTAATGAGTGGCCCTGTTTAGGACTGTATAGACTAGACCAGTTTCCTATGTCATCCACTCATTCGTCTGAAAGGCTCTAAACTGAAATTGTCACTTGAAGGCTTTTAACACTGACTCCCACTACGCTTCATTCTCAGTTTTGAAAATGTGAAAATGTAGAGAATAACTGGCACAGGAAAAAAATATTTCTAATAAAATGTATACTGTGTATGTTTGTTTCTTGTGCATATATTGCAGCAGCTTTCAAACTCCTCTCTTCTGTAATGATTTTAGCTTTAATAAATGCTTTGGAATATGAGTTCTTTGTTGATTCCTAATGACGAAAGTTGCTTAGCTTGTTACTGAACTACATCTTTCTCAATCAGTGACAATTACACAAACAATCAGGTGCGAAGTGCTCTTTAACGCACCTCAGAACTTTACAAAGGATGGAAGCATGCAGTTCATTGTCACACCTTGCCGCTTCAGATGACTCACATTGTGGTAATTTAATCATCACTAGACTTTTAAGGATAAATTCCATGGAATTTCTATTGGTTACTGTGCTGTCTTTGAACATTATTTTTATCCATTAGGATGCCAGCCAATATTTTAGCGGAGTTTTTGCTTAATTTGACAAGGCAACTACCTTCAATTAAGGAACTTCCTTTTTTTATTATTTTTCCTTTAAGATGTCTTCTGAAATCTGAATACAATTTGCAAAATCTGAAATCATGCACATGCATTTTTGCTTGTCTTTGAGCCTGGAGGCTGCTGAGATACTTAATTTTATTAAATTGTCCAAACAAACCATTACTCTTGTACTGGTGGTGGTGTGAGCCAAATAGTAGCCTGAAGCAGAGCTGCTTGGCTCTGTTAAAGCCCTGAACTAATAGGTTCATAATGAAAGCAACAATTCAAACTAAACTGTAAGAAACAAGGAGGTGCCTGTGTAGCTCTCATGAAAGCAAATAAGTTGTTCCATTATAGTTCCATCATAAGAGGCCACATCTTTACTCACTCTGGAAAGCATGCACAAGATTTGCACACAAAGACCCACTATAAGAATTCTCAGCACATTTAAGAAGTGCTGCTCAAGCCCTCCTTACTTGTGAATATAAAGAACCAGGAAAATAGGAATAGGATGAAAATCACTCCTTGACATTAGGGTGAAGAAGAGGTCAAGACATCAGTTCTGTCTTGAAGACTTAAATGAAAGACAGTTGCACAGGTCTGTGCTAGTCTTCTGCTTTAGAGTAGATGCTATTCCGAAATGCAGTGCAATTTTGCATGCCCAATGGAGACTGGTGGTACACTGCTTCAAAAATCTGCTTCTTTGTAGATCAGATTTAGATATGTCTTGCCTCAGTGATGACTAACAAGAGCTTGAAATTCAGTTCTCCTTTTCCTTCAGTACAAAGTTCCAGATTAATTACAATATTACTTTCTGCTGTTTTTTACTGAATCATATTCCTAAGACGATGATCTGCTCAACACATGGACACTATGATCTTACCATTCAGATAACTGGATTTCAATCACTCAGCTCTCTCAAGTTCATTTTTAAGATTAATTTCATAATGTCTCTATGTGATCTAGAGAATGGTAGTATTTTGCTCAGATGGAAGATTGAACTACAACTGATTCTCCAAGCTTCTTGCCGGCTCTCCTTGACTTCTAAAGCTGATCTGTCCTCTGTTTTAGACAAATAATGCTATTTCAGAAATGTCTCATTAATATAAACAGTGATGTTCTTGATGTTTTTTCTCCTGATGCTGTAGCAGCCATATATAAAATCCTTTGTTACTGTGCTCAGGCTGAGTTACTGTAAGCACAAAGAAAGCATCATCACTGGGCAATAATTTTGCCAGACCAAGGCTGCGACTTTGCCCTCTGAGGGCTGTCTGTAAGCAGATAATACTGTTGAACTAGACAGAAGGATTTACAATGAACCTCTTTTTAATTATCATGTGTAACTCTAGGGAGCTTTTCAACAAAATTCTCTTTGAGTAATTTTAATATGTTTCTAAAAGATTTAAAGTGATATAGGTCCAGAAGCAGAATAATGTGTTGCTATTTTTAAATGCTGGTGTAAAACCCCAGCTGCACAGCTTTGTCTGTATTTGTATTTTATTAATCAGTCCATTTTAATGTCCTCACTTTTCTCTCTCTCATTCTCTTCCTCTAAGTCCCTGCTCAGCTGCTTCCCAGAGACCATTTTAAAATTAATTCAGATGATTTTAGGCATTTCTGATATGACTATTATTACAAGACTATCCTCTTGGTGAACCAGTACTGGAGGCAGTGTTATTTTGAGACCTTGTCTCATTGGTTCCTCCAAGCTAGCAATAGTCAGGCCAAATCCTGTTTACTTATTTATAATTTAAATTAATTTAAATGAATATATCACAGGATAATTGATTTTCATAATATATATTGAAACAGAGAAGTTCTAAGCTCCAGCTGCTTTTTCAGGGAGGGAAATGGTACCTCTAGTAACAAACCCCTCAACCGGAAAAATCATGCATTCGTGATGTATTTGCTTTGGCCTGTTGGGCATCTGAGGCAATTACTCTCCTGTGATCAGTGGCCAGTTCTAACTAACAGGTTTGGATACTCCACTGAGCCTGAAAGAGTTCTTGGCAGATCACTGATTTTAAGTGGGTCTAACGTGGATTCAGATTAAACACTCTTTGGATGGCAGCTGTTAGTGCCATTCAGCACAACGGTTAATGAGACATCTAGCCATAATTTGTGCACTCAACTAGTTAAACAAGAGCAAAAAGTCTGATTTTATTGACAGGAAAAAAGGAGGCAATTGCATTTAAAATGTTTCTGTTTACTTGATCCTCTTTCTTCTTTTGTTTTCTTTTATGGTTGTCTTGTAGATCACTATTGAGAACCAGTAACGTCAGCATTGGCAATTAGCCTGAGATCAGTGCCTGCTAACAAAAAATCACTTTCTGAGCATCCTTAGGGATAAAGTCATGCTTGTCTCCCTTTCTAAAGGCATAGTGATGGTGATCATGCTTCTCATTTTCCCAGGACCTCTGGTGTGTTCATGGTGCTGCTCCACCCAGGTTGCACTGGCAAAGCTTAACTCAATGGGAGGTTCCCATTAGACTTTCTTTCACAGAATCACAGAATTGTAGGGGTTGGAAGGGACCTCCAGAGATCATCGAGTCCAACCCCCATACTTTGGTAGTATGCTCCTAAGTTGGAGGATGTTGAAGAATATTTACAATACTATGTTAAATCTCTGACAGCTTTTCCTCAGAGTTTAGCTTACAAGTGGGGAAAAATGCACATCTTCTTAGTGTTTCAGTCATCTTTCCTGATATCCAGGGCTGAAGAACAGTAGTACTAAGGAATAGCTGACAGCTGATATCTGACATATGTGAAGTGAAGGAAATCTTCACATGTGGGATATGTACATGGTATTGCCAGGTCATCTCCTCTGTCATGCCTGTTACTGCACCATAACATATACCCCCATTGTATTATTACTTAATTTTGAATAAATGAAAATAATTTCATGGAAGAGAAAAGCATTTTTAACAAACTGGTTGGAAAAAAAAGAAAGTGATCTGATACTAATAGCAACTTTTCTTAAGCAGTTTTCATCTTATGAGCAAGAATTAATTTGAAATTGCATATACCTTCCCATTTTATCTAGATGATGGAGTGATTAAGCATGAGGGATTGTTTAATTTACATACTTTGTTCAACCTGTGTGTGCATTTATGTTGTTAAAAATGTTAGTCAATGAAAGACACACTGTGAACTTAAGTCCTTTAAAAAGCTTACTGGAAGTCAATAGCATTATTTTTGTGCATAATATAGAGCAGATGTAGAAATATCTCCAAGATCAGGATCTTATGTTGGCAGTTTCTCTGGGGAATACCATATTTCTCATTTTAGTAATGTAAAATATTTTATAAATGTCAGATGAAATATGTATGTTCTGAAAATACATACAATATCTCAAGGAGTTCAGCTAACAGTTTTCTACATAAAAATAATAAACATAATTAAAAATAATAGACATAATTTAAACACTCAGCCCAAAACATCAAGTTGATTATTTTAAGACTCAGCATAACATATCCTGGGTACCATGACTGTTTTCCAGAGCAGTGACATTTTTCTAAATCATGTTGTACATAAATTAAGAAATGTCTTCACTATCCTTTGAACAATGTCTCAGATGTTCAAGCCTAGGATGAAAACCTTACATGCTGCTGCTAGTCGTTTCTGGATTACCTTTTCCTTACATCTCTTTTTCTTCTGTTTCAGTAACATGATAAATCCACCAAAGTTTCCCATTTGCTGCCCAGATGTCATACAAATAGATTATGAGATACTGCTGGTTGCTCCTTGTATGTCCCATTGTAACCAATGATTCTTAATGCTATTTTTTTCCATCTACCTATTAAAAATGACAGGCAGAATTATGCAACAGAGGATTTGTTTGGGAAACCTCGTTCATAGTCTGCACATATAGTCAAGAAGACAAGCCCATTTCTTAAATACATCTGTAGTTTTGGAGGAACCTGTGATAAATCTAAACAAAGAAGAATATTTTTATGAGTTGAGGCTAATAAAGCATCCTTGCCTCTTGTGCTCCAGCAGAAAAAAGGTATCCACAGTCTTGTGACAGTGAGCATTACATGAAGCTATACTTACTGTGCTGCTGCATGTTGCCAGGTGTAAACACTTTGGAACATTACAGATTGTCACTCATTTTGATAATGGGTAATTTGCAGTGTCTCACTATTAATTACGCTAGTGATTAGTACAACATTGTCATTTTATAAGTATGCAATTGAGAGGCAGTAAGTTGAGGAGATGCGTATCTCTACTGGCGTGATAAATACATACGTGCTTTCTGTCCTGTTTCACCAATGTGAGTTGGCTTTCTTTCAGTCCTTTCTATGACTGCCTGGGTAAGCATTTTGAAACAAGTTACTGCCAGCTATGTTAGTTTACATACAGGAACAGCTACTTTCTGTGTATTCAGTTTTCCATAAGAAGCTATAGTAGAACACCACAGTGCCTCTATGAATGCTTTGTCAGACAAGGTGTTAGATATCTGATTTCTCACTCAGAGATGCTGAGCATATTCACATGCTATGAAAATGAACCACTTCTCAGCTTAGGGCTGGAAATCTTAAAAAAAAAAAAAAAAAAAAAAAAAAAAGCTGCTTTGAATGGGGCTTCTTCACAACCATGTTGTCTAGCTGTCCTGTTGGTGTAGGCAGGGAGGTAATACAGATGGTGGAAGTCGTAGGCCAGCTCTCTGCTGCTAAAGGCAGACACATCTCTGAAGCATTCTTTCCAAGCTTGCCAAGGCAAAGACCTTCAAGCAAAAAGCCATGTTTTATGTTTCTTTCTTTTTTTCTTTCTTTTTTTTTTTTTTTTTCTTAAATTTAAATTTTGGCAGGTATTGCTTTGTTTTTGAATTCTCTGTGGGTCTGTTTGTTCCTGACCAGTGGTTCTGGAGACTGCTTGGCATTTGTGACTCACAATGTGAACACCTGCTTCCTCACATTCCCAAGGGCACTGGGAAAATTGGAGCTGTTATGTACAAGCTCTATATTTCCCCACAGTTTAGGGCCAAGAGAGATTATTATATTGCCTAGTCTGATGCCCTGTGTTCCAGTGGCTATTAGATGTTGTAGATGTACCTCAAGGCTGAGACAGTTACTTTCATTAGCCCATGGTGTTTTATTCCATGAGAAGCCAAACTGCTGTGTGCCTGAAGCAGTATCTGAGACTCCTGCAATTCCCGAGAACTGATTAGTCCTTATATGCCCAGATAATCACAGAGAAAATCTCTGCAAAAAATCACCATCCTTGCCAATTTGAGCAAAAAAATTCTCTACTCCTCTTGGACTTGACTGAATTCAGACCCAGGCTTCAGATGTCTAAGAATATTTTCTGCATTAGTTTACTCTCTTCCTGGCTACAGCAAAATGAATAATCCATGCTTCAAGGGAAGGGAAAAACATACTGCAGAATATATCAGGCCAAATATCCTCTGGGAGGAATGGGAAGGGATTCTTCCTCACCTCTGTAGACAGCCAACTGGAGCCCTTGAGTACAGAATTTGATTATACTCATTACCTTAATGCCAACCTGCAAATCTCTGAAAGGGAAGGGTGTAATTCAAGCCATCTTGTTTCAGCCATAATGGAAGAAGCTGCACAGATGCAACATTCTAATGGATGTAGGGCTCAAGGGATCACCAGGGAATCTTGCCTGACATGACCTTCCTTTCCTGCTTGTTTGAGGCTCCCTTGGCCATTAGTTCTCCCAGAAGCTGAAGTAAAGCCAATATTTAAGAAAGAAAGACAGTTTTTAGGACAGTATCAAGCCATGGTGAGTGCACCACCTCCCTTTATAAGCTCTTATGGAGTTTAATTATCTTTACTGCTAGGAAATTGCATTTGATTTCAAGGTTGATTACATCTAACCTTAAACTTCCAGTCAGTGGATTTAGTTGTGCTTTTGTCAGCAAGAGTGAAAAAGCTCACCACTACCTGTTGTCTTTTCCACGTATCCTCTCAACCTTTTCTTGGGTAAGTGGAATATGCCCAGCTTTTTAAGCCTCCCATCACAAGACATGTGCTTGACATGCAAACTACTTGGATTTTCTCCAATATTTTCTCACCTTCTTTAAAGTGCAAGCACCAGAACTGTGCTTGTTATTTTAGGAACATGCAAGGACTGTGCTGGGTCCTTGCCATAGCTTTGCACTGAGATCTTCTGTTAGGAGTGATTATCCAGGGTAATCACTTTTTTTGTCATTCCTCAAGTCTCTGCTTTTTGAGACAGTACCCATTCCTACAAGCTTTTGATCCCCAGAGGTATTAATTTGCATTTGAATGCATTAAAATGAATTTAGTGTGCAGCCTGCTGGACAGTGATCATTTAGCCAAATCAGATCACTGCAGAAGTAATATATCTTCTTTATTTACTGTGCTAAAATACACTGTGTCATATACAAGTCTTAAAAGCACAGATTTTATCTTGGTCTATGCTGCTGAAAACAATATAAAATTGTATTAGATAAAGACTGTTTCTGGCTCTGCTGGGAAAGCTCCCCACATTGAATGAAACCTCCCCATTAAAAGGCTACATTTTAAAATTTGTCAGTGAGACACTTCTTAATCCCCATAATGTGTGAGTTGTTAATTCTGTGTAATGCAAGACTGGAAATCAAAATGTCATGTAGTATTAAGCCAAGTGCCTTGCAGAAATCCAAGTCTGTCCTAACCGTACGACTACTTTTATATAAATCTCCTAAATAACCAAAAACTGCACTGGAATGTCTGACAAGATCTAACCCCCTACTAACTCAGTTTGATTAGCATGAAATATATCTATTTTCCAGTTCTTTCTTTAATATTTAAGCATCCCCGAAATGCATACTATCTTGTGAGCAGCTCAAGCACCAATTTCAGGCTTTGGATGGTGCATGGCAGAACACGGTTCTTCACCACTTATATTTTTCTCTAAATCAGAGCTAGGTGGAGTATAAGCTGTACAAGTTGAGCTTATTTACAGCTGCTGTTTCTCTTTCAGAGCTAATGAATTATTGACAATCTAAGGATTTTCTGTTATATAAACCAGAAGCTCTATTCTTTAATACAGAGCAGCTCCTCACTACATAGAAAGGGGAGTATGTGCGAAGCTGGCAAGATCATTCAATATGACAGAACTTGTCAAATACACAAAATCAGGAACTATTGGTACATCTTGAAGAAATTATTTCAGGTCCAGTCCTCCAATCCTTGTAAGCGCAGCATCAGGAAGCAAGATGGACTCCAGAACAATGCATATTTTACCAGAGGTACCAATGGAAATTGCAGTATGCAAAGGATTTGTGGTGGCTCTCTGCAAAGATCACTTCTCTCCATTATTCTTCTTGGGACAAAACCTCGGCATCTATAAATGCAGTGGTGGTGCCCGTGGGCTGAGAGGAGCATGAAGTTTGTTGACATCACTGACCTACAGAGACAGTAGAAGCAGATACCCAATTTAGGAACATGGCTATAGTGTGAGCACTGGAGTTGGTGTTGCTTTTAGAATTCCCACGATGCATCATTTCACACTTTTTGCTGCTGTTATGGCTCGGTGCAGATTATTGCTCTGGGCCCTGTCTGTGTCTTCCTATTGAGCACAGTCATGTCAAGGAGAATGTCCCCCTGACATATGTATTTGCACTGTCCTCTACAAAAATTTACAATGACCCATGAACAGAAAAAATATTCCCTCTAAACTCTCGTACACATACTTAAGCCTTAAGATAAGGCAATTAGATGATTTAGTTCTTGGATGTATCTACTTTTAGCATGTGGACTCCATATGCTGTTGGCTATGAAAAGAATGAGCCCTCTAGTAAAAAGGAATGTTAGTTAATGGATAAGAAGGAGGTCACTCAGTTTATTTAAGCACTGGAAGAAGAGTTGGTTTTGCACAAGGTTGTGAATATCTGGAAAGCTTTAAGGACTGATAATACTAGATCATCCTTTGATTTAGCCATTTAAATATTTTGTTAATGTTCATAATTTTTTTAAGGATCTGATTCTGTGAAATCATATTTGCATGAATAAGCCTTATTCACAAACAGTGTCAGTGAATTACAGTGGTTCATTTGCATCAGAAAAAAATAATCAGGATGGTAGTACTGGGTCCTCTAATATTTATGAACTCTGATCAAAATTGTTTTATGAGGTAAACTTAACAACCATCTGGCATCGCCTATCATTTCATGCTGCTTAATTTCAATAGCTATGCGTAGAAGTCAGCAAGTATTAGCAATTCCTTTCTTATCTGAAGGCAGCCAAATGACCTTCTCCGTTAGACTTATATTCCTTCCTAAGAGAGGATTACTCCTTTGACTTTTATTTATCATATGAAATGAATGTGTGAGACAATAAGCCTATGAGAAATCCACTAGTGGGGCTGCTCATGAGGCGTGTTCTTGAGAATGAAGTTTCTTCCACCAATAATAGCACATTCTTCCTACTACACACACAGCCAACTGCGGGGTAGCATGACATCAGCTGTATTTCAGTTCTTACAAATCTCTGACATTTTTAACAGCCAATGCATCACTTTACAGTAATCTTTCCCAGAAAAAAAAAAAAAAACTACTTTCTTTTCCTTTACAAAGATACACTAAACGGCCATTAATTCCAGCTGAAGTTACAGATACTTAGCTGCTCTAAGAAGAGAGTCTTTGAATACAAACCTGCAAACCAGTTACTTGCATGCAGCTGGTCAGAAAACTTGTTTTAAGAACTGCAGAACTGAGATTTCATCAACAAGAATAAATATTTCTGTACTTCGGGATGTTCTTTATTCTTAGTATAAGGAATCATGCACAAGTCTACAGGATGAATAACACCATAGGTAATGTGGCAAGTGAAGTCATGCAAGCTGGGATCCATCTTCCCTTATACTGTTACAATAATTATATAAATGATTCAGTCCGCAAAATGCTTCTTGAGATTCAATTTTAAAGGGAATTTACCACAGTGGAGAGATGGGATTTTTATCTAATCAAAGAATTACTTTTTGCTGTTTACCCAAATGAAAAGATCAGCCAATCTTTCTCATTTAAAAAATACTTTTGCAGCAAGTCACTCCAAGGAGATTTTTAGTGTCTCTGATATGAATGCTGTACTGTGGGTATGGACTATCAAGTGCATCCACCGTGGATGCCGTACCCTGTTGTCTGACACCTATATTCTCAACAGTAATAATATAAACACAGTTGAATTTGGAAGAAAAAAAAAAAAAAAAAAAAAAAGGCTCCTGCATTATAGATTTGGGTTTCTCAGCAATTGTCCATATGAATGTCTTGAAATGAATCTAAGTCAGCTTCAGTGAAAGGAACAAAAATCTCGGAGCCTGACAATCTCATTGTGTCCCACTGAGAATCTTACTGCATGTCCCTTTGTAAATAATATAGGGCTGGCAGCCTGGTCATGGTTCCTTATAATGCTGCTTTGGGGCACCACCCAACCCACTGTCAGCAGGAATGTGGGCTCATGTACTGAGTTTTTGTTTTTTGTGTGATTGTGTCCTCAAAGCTGAGTTGAGTCAGTCAGAGAATGAGAGGAACATGTAATAAACTGACAGAAGTGATTTTTATCAACTTCTGTCATATTTTCTATTTTCTCTTACACCAGTAAGATTGTAAAATGATGGCCATGTATAAGAATGTTTATGAGCCAATTTGCAAATATTCCTAAGAGCAAAGAAGGAAGAGTTTGGTACAATGCAAAGGTCTGGTCCTACATTATCTTGTCAATATGATTCAGACAAATTATTCAGGGGGGTGTTTACTTGGTTAGAAGTTCTCAGGATTGAGTCTTAATGATGGAGAATGGCATTTAGCAGCTTATTTATAGTGTATTTTTCCTTCTTACTTCTGAAATAGGCCATCTATCCACGGCCATAAGTGTTGTCCTTCTGACCCAGCAGTTTCTCTTTAAAATGGCCTACACGAAGATAGCACAGGTTTGTTTAGTTAGAGGCAAAAACATTACTGAGGAAATTCAAGCCGATTCCTTTTCTGCTCTGTAGTGCATTGAAGAAGACTTTCACCTAAAGGAAATAAATAAGATACACATAGAAGGTGAATCTTTCCCAAATCCTCTTTCTGCAGGCACTGTCAGTGGGAGGCAGACCACAGGGACCCTTCTTCCCCAAGGTAAATAGGAAGTTCACTTTGCATAGCTTGTGTAAAGAGGTGCCAAATGAAGTCTGTTTGAGTGAGAGAAAACCCCTGGCGATGTTCCTTCAAGCCTAATCTGAAGGTCTATTTCACAGAAGCACCCCTGTAGGTTAGAGGAGAAGCCCACCCTGGTAAAATCAAAGCATTTTACACATGACCATGGCAAAGGGTTGGTTGGGTTGGGTGCAGAGCAGGCTCATCTACTGCAGCCAAAACGGTGCGGCAGCAAGTTGGCCAAATCGAGTATTATCAGCTGGCAGTAAGAGTTTAATTTTTTATTCTTTCATTCACATTGGATACGCAACAACCCTTATTCAGGATCTGCAGAGGAGCCGTGAGGGCATCGGGGCGAGAGCTGTGGCACCCCGGGAACCCCCCGCACACCTGCCCCGGAACCTGCGAGGAGAGCCCCGAGCATCCCGGCCTGGAGGGGAGCGGCATCCCGCCGGCATCAGCACTCCGGGGGAACATCTCCCGCCGTGCTTGCGGGAGCGCGAGGGGAGTCTCCTCCTTCCCTCCCTGCCTCCCCCTCTGCTCTCTCCTCCCTCCCGCTGCCTGCAGCCGCAGCGCAGGGCAGGAGGGAGCGGCGGCGGCAGGCAGAGCCGCCCGGCCCGGCGGAGGCAGGAGGGCGGGCGGGCGGTGGCTGCTCCCCGGCCCCGCCGCCCCGGCCCCGGCCGTGCCGCCGGCAGGCTCCGCCCGGCGCTCCCATGGCGCGGCGGCTCCGCGCCAGGTGAGGCTGCGCTGCCTGTTGCGCCGAGCCGAATCGCGCCGAGCCGAGTCGCGCCGCGAAGTTTTGCGGGAGGCGCCGCCGCTCTGCGATGTGAGTTGCGGGGTCCTGCGGGCACGGTTTGGGGGAGGCGGCACCACGAGAAATGTCGAAGGGGAGGGAGGGAGGCGAACGTCGCTGCTGCCGCTGCCCGGGGGCTGCCGTACTGTGCCGGGGCTGGGGATCAGCCGAGGCAGCGGGGGAAGGGGGAATTAAGGGGCGGAGGCTGCCGGGAGGGGGGCTGCCACCCGCAGCCCGGGGGAAACGAGGAGGGGAGGTTCCCCTCCCCGATCCCGAAAAGCAAAGGGAAAAGCGCCCGCCGCCGTGCCCGGGTTTCCAAGGCGCCCGTTCACCGCCGAGGTCGCGCCGATCCGCATGCGGGCGGCGGCCGGGGCGCGGAGCGGGGGGAAGACGCCGTTGGTGTCGCCGTGGGATTTTTCCACTTTGAGACCTACCTGGACCAGTTGCTACGGAGCAGGCGGCGGCGATGGGGAGGAGAGCAGCTCCCTCCGAACGCGAGCAACAAATGGCAGCGGGGGCGGCGGCGGAGCTGGCCGCGGCCAGGTGAGCTGCGCCGCCCGCAGCCCCGTAGGGCAGCGGCGCGGGGGGCGCTGCGGTCTCCGGGCGCAGCCGCAGCCCCCGGGTGCTCCGTGTGCGCGGCGTGGGGCTGTGGGCGGTGGGGAACCCGGCGGGGCACGGCCGCGACCTTAGGGCGGCACGGAAATGTCAGGCGGCCGGCAGAGCGTGTGTGCCTGGTGCTGTGCGGGTAGCAGCAAGCTGTGCCCTCGCCTTTCTGGGAATCTGTGCGTCCAGAATTTCCCCTCCCTAAAAATTTAGGACATAGTCTTGGATATGCTAGCGGGAATTTTTCTTTTCCTTCTTGGTTCTTTCCCTTAAAAATGAGAAGATTTTAGAGAATCGGTCAGAAAATTGCTGAGCCCTTCAGGCTGATGGTTATCACCCAATCTTGCTGAGCGTCCCTAGAGAGCAGAAATGGTGTGATTATGGAGCGAGAGCAGTCGGATAACTTGAGAAGCACAGAGGAGCCAACTCCTCACAGAGTCAGAATGAAAATCGAGCAACCAATGTACAGCATTTGTCTTAAAGAAATGAGCCCAGAGGTATTTCCATACATATGGAAATGACAAAATAAGCAACATGAGAAGATTGTAATTGTTTAAAAATAATAATCCTGACAAAATGTTATAAATTTGGCAAGGAAAGAAAAATGAGTGTTTTTAGAGCCTCAAACTCTTCCTAGGACGGCCTCTTCTGAGTGCCGAACAGTAGCAGGGAATAATTTCTTCTCGTGGTAATCTATCTAACAATTTGTGCATTTAAATTGCAAGGTGTGTGTGTCATACAAAGCAGTAACTGGAAGGCTTTGATACAGAGAACTACTGTGTTCCATTGGCTTACGTGTTGGTATTTTTCTTAGCAATTTAATTAGAAAGGACAGACACACAATGGGCTTCCCGTTTGATTTAGAAGGAAAGAAGAAAGTGATTAAGCTGTAAAGTAAACTAATTTGCAAAACCTTTACTATGTTCAGAGTCTAGTTTTCTAGTTGAGTTTCTGTATCTTGCTTGGAATTAATGCTAGTGGTGTGATTGCTGAGCTGATTCTGCAGCCCTCGCTTGTGTGAGTTGCTATGGGTTTCTATGGGATCACTCCTACAGGTGACTCCGATGACTCAAGGCAGCAGAATTGGCCCCACTGTCATACGGTCTCGCACACAGCGTGCTGAGGGAATGTGTCTCTTGGCCCTGATGGGAGGTCTGTGGCTATGGTGGGGAGTAGCTTGGGTTTGAGTCCCAGTCTCTTGCATTTATTCAGCTGTTGCTGCTGGGGTTACCACCTTGAGGTCTGCTGTAAAGGAACACTGCTTTTGGTGTGAGCAGGGCGAGCTCCTGTAGCTCATGGTGGCTTTCCATTGACTTGGGGCGAGCTGAAGCTGCTTAGCATCTCGGAGAACAGGACCAGAGTGATCGAGGAGGAGGATCAGATCTGCAGCTGTCAAGAATCAGCATGTTTTGGCTCAAATTAATCAAATTAATTAGTAAAAACGAAACATCTTTTTAATAGCTATAGAGGCTTGTGCTCTGGATCCATTCCTGTCCTGGTGAAATCCTTGGGAGCTTTGCTACAACATGAAAAGAATAGCAAGTGTTGTGGTTTGCCTCTGCCATATGCTTCACAGGGTTCTATTTAAAGTCTTTTGGAAGAGAGGAATCTTTTCCTTCTTGTGCTGAAGCTACGTTAGAACCTGGCTACCTTCAGAACAACCACATCATAGGACAGCTCAGGAAATAATCTCCTAGCAGTAGAACTGGAGTTTATGGACCTGTTCTCTCTTACAGTGCAGACTTGGGTGTCAAACCCCCGAGAAAATGTGTTGCTCTACTACAAACTCACCTGTAGATGCTCACTTAAAATAATAAGGCACTTCTAAATCTCGCTTTTAAGAGGTTTCATGTTATGTCATTCCCAATATTTATATGCATCATACAAGGGATTATCTCTGTCAGGAAGGATTCACAATTTTTGATGAAATGAAAAATTTAAGAAGCGGAAAAATGTGTAGAAATATTTGTTGTTATTGTTTCAGTTGATGAGGTGGATGAAGGAAGGAGCTTTTCTCCATGTAGAATATTGCGGTTTTGATCACTTGCAGGATTTACGTGTAGCTACCATCCTTGTCATTTGCATGCAAGTTCTTTGGATCAGTCCTGACTTGAGAATGTGAATTAAATCAGTGTTCTGTGCCCAGCAAAATCAGCTTTGTGGTTTTGCTTCATCCAGTGAATTTTTTTAGTACATATGAGGAAATCTCTTACAAAGCTCTGAAAACCAGACACTTACAATGCAAAGAGAACCTTATTTAAAAAAATAGTGTTTGAGCCAAGAATAAATTATTGGAGTTCATGGAATGCATAGCATTTACCTTGGCCTGTTTGACCAACTCTTTTTAAATATTAACTTATTTACTAAAAGTCATCTCCTGAAAGGGCAGCCTGGGTTGGATACTTCAGCACTGGTATGAACTCTATTGGTGAGGCTGTGTTTGTAGCCTGTGCTGCCATGTGTTATGCAGGGACCTAGGCTGAACTTGGAACAACACAATGCTTACTGCTGCCAACCGAGAAATAATTTTTATTCCTGTCCCCCAGATATTTAAATGCTCTATCAAGTTCCTTCAGCAAGCAGGTTTGTTTTTAAGACAGTTTCTTTCTGTGCTGACTTCAGCACTGTGTGTGGGGAAGGCCTGTTGCCATGTGGTTTGATGCAGCCCCTGATTCCTGCTTCTCATCAGCAAGGTAATGGTGATGGTAGCTGAATTAATGTGCTTGAGGATGTTTGTTTTCTTTGTTTGTTTGTTTTTTTTTCTCTCTGGTGAACATCTTAAGGATGAAAAGAAAGAGAAAGAGAAAAATGGGAACAGACAAAGTAGGCCAGATGCCTTAGAAATAGGAGAAAAGCAAAAGGAAGAGACAGCAAGGAAAAAAGCTCTGGGTGAATGGTGGAGTTGAGCCTTTCTGAAGGATGAAGCATTTTGTGTGGCTGTAGCACAGTCCTTTAGTTTGGCTTGCTGCTGTGCTGGGGCTCGCCCAGAGACTTGGGGAAGACACTGTGGTTGGGCAGATTTACTTCTTTTCATTGAGTAGGAGCCTTGCTGAGGGAATGGGCTGAGCTTTCTGTGCTTCAGCTCCACAGACAGATGAGATAAAAGTGCCTCTTGAGTAAATGGTGCCTTTTCAGAGAGACATTCAACTGAGTAATTGGAATTTTTACTTAAACGGAGATGAAAATTAGCACTACAGATCTTGTTGCACTTGACTGTGGTTTACCTTTGCTTTTCTGGATCACTCCAACTACTTTGTGTGTCTTTAAAATACATTTGTCCTACCTTAATAGCAATTTTGTAATGTTGCTAACTTGTCCTTTGAAAAGAAGCAGAAAGTTGAACTCTGCCTGCTGAATAGTGCTGTAAAAGTACAGTAACAAGAGAAAGGGAGAGGTGACAGGAGTGAGTGATAGCACAGAGATGGGTTGCTGCTCTACCTTGGAAGTAGGAAAGCAAATGGAGACTATTTAATTATTTAAGTAACAATAAACAAAAAGTCTGGTTATGCAGTAAAAGGGGAGACAAACAGTAAGTAGAAATTTGAGAGAAGGAAATAAGGCATAAGAAAAGTAGAAGGTGGATGAGCAGGGATCAAGTGGACAGGGGCGGGCTTTCACTGGGAAAATGTAATCTGTATCGATCAGTGTATTGCAGTGCTTCCATAGCTTGACTTCTCCTCAAATGGTGAGAGTCTGATGCAGCATGTTCTTCTCTTGGGGGTCGCCTCATGTTACTGTTTTTCCTTTGGATGCTCAACTGCAACTAATAGGGCACATGCTTTAAGGTGCACGTCTTGGTGACAGACCATCCTAAGAGGTATACTACGTAGATGCTCTTTTAATGGTGTTATCATTTTCTCTTCTGTCAGTGTTGCTCTGTAAGTTACCTCTCCTCCTTTCTCCAGCAAGTAACAAAATTGATTTTAAAGACAAGTTTTTGTTTGTTTGTTTGTTTGTTTTGCAGCTTACAAAAATTAGGCTGCTTACTTCTGCAACTATACTTACTAAAGTTGTTTTGTATGTAAATACTGGGGGTATTCGCTGTTTCGATAGGGTACTTGAAGGACTACTTCTAGGGTTTGTGCTGGGAGTTAATAGGACGCAATGAAAGCAAGTGTTTCTTATTTTCTTTCATTTGGATTGAAAATGTGTATTCCTTGGGGTGGAAGTTGGTATACTTTGTGACAAATACTTTTGCAGTAGTTAAAAAGTATTAACTTCTATGTGCACGTGAAAAATAGGCAGCAAAAGGATGAAACTTCTGGACATTCAGATGAATTGATGCTGTTTACTGTTGCAGAAGACATCTTAATTAAAAATAAACAAAAGGTTGCTGGGTGTGCAACCTTTGATTCTTGCCAGTGATCTTCCTTCCTAAAGAACAGAATTTGTAACAATACTGAGCAAAATAACTGCAACAAAATCTTCCGTGAAGTTTCTCACTACACTGCATGCTATTTAGTGGGCAGTGGTGGTTGTATATCTGGTTGATGATACTCCAGCTTATGGATATTAAAAAGAACACACAAAAGTTTAAGATACAGATGTTCAAATTACTGAACTTATAGCCCATTTGTAGTTCGTGTTGGATAATGACAGTGGATCCATTCAGACTTCCATTTGCATTGGTTGTTTTTTTTTAATTCTTCATACAGCAGTATTTAAGTACCATGTTAGCCTTATGAAACCCCAGACTTTTCATGTGCTCCTGAAAACAGAGTCTGAAGTTGTCCTGGTTTGTTTGTTTGTTTGTTTGTTTGTTTGTTTGTTTTATCTGAAGTTGAGGATTGTGGTGGGGTTTTTTTGTTCTTCTTTTTTTTTTTTTTTTTTTTTTTTTTAAATTAATATCTTCTATTTACCTCTGTCCAGGCAAAAATGGTGTTTGCCAAGAAGAAAAAAAAAAGAATAAATATGTGCAAATTTAAGAGGTCCAGAAGAAAGAAAAAACTCACAGGCAAAGGCTACTCAGAGGGCCAGGGGTCAATAAATCTAGGGCTCTCTCTGTCTTATCAGCATGAGTGGCCCAGGGTTTGCTGCTGTTGTTGTTTGTTGGTTTTTTTCCTAGAGATGCTGCAAATGGTCTTTAAAATTTATCGTGATTATTAAACATAATTTATCCTTATTAGTGTCAAAAGAGAGAATGACCCTTAGTTCCTTTTTCCTGAAGTGAACAGAGTGCAATTGCCACTGCAGCCTTCATGTAGTCTGACAGAATTTCTAACCATCCGTTTTGCCTTTCCAGTGTTGTTGACACCGAGTCCTTGTGATGAAAATGGGTTGCTTTTAAACAGTCTCTTTTTAACAAAGTTTGTAATAGAATATTACTGTTCTTGAATACTCATCATTGCCAAGCTGCAGATGCACTAGAAGGGAAGGCGTGTATCAGAGGATATCTGCTTTCAAGTACTCATTTTTGGATTTTGCTGTACCCTGGATATGTCTGGTGTTGATCAGAAGATAATGGTATATAGATCTTCGGTCTGTTCTGCAAGAATATCTCCTCCTTGTTAAAGCTGAGAAATTCCAATCTGTTTCAAAGAAAATGGTCTACGTGACTTTGTAAAGAGGAATGTGAGAGGAAAATTATTCTTTTCTAGAATCTTCAAATTAAGAGTGGAACAACTCCCCACACACAGGGGAGTGCCTTAGAACACAGCATACCTTAGAACTTCACTTGTCACCTCTCAAACACCACAGATGACTAAAGCACACTAGTTCAAATTGAGTAAGAACATCTCACCTTTGATTTAAAAGCAGTGCAGGGATGAAAGCATGCACTCAGTGGGCAATCTTTCCCCTGTGGGTGCAGATTGAGGCAGCTGAGCGGAGTTGCTTTGTCCGTGCCGACTAGATTCCTTCTCCCATTCTTGTTTTAAGCGTTGTCATTGAAGAGTTAATGATTTCTGTTAAGAGATTCTATCGGTTACTTACTGTTTCCAGAATCTTTTGCAGTTTTTGCTCTTTGACAGACATCACTGTATATGTATTATGCTCATCATTTTCATCAATTACACGTTATGTTTATTGGCAGCTCTCATGCATAAATACTTATTTTGCTAGAGTAGGAGACAACAGGATTTAAGTGTGTAAGAAAATGGTCTTTGGCTCGGAAAAAAAAAAAATTGTGATGGATACAAATGGTATTTCAATAACTTTCGATCCAAAAACTTTTCTTGCAAAGCGACACAACTGTTCTTCTTGCCAGTCACGGCAGGTGCTCCATCTGTACAAATACTGCCTAATTTGAACCAGTCAAGCTTAACATTTTTTTTCCCACTATCTGCCACATTCTCAACAAATTTTCTCAGTT